GTATTTCAAGCTTTTGAGGAAGGAGTGAGAGGAGTTAGAATATCTGCATATACATAATACTGGGGGTGAAATTCAAGTCTAAATATGAAATTCATTCTGGTTTCATCTATACCTTATGCACATAGCCTGAAAATTTTACAGGAATTTTAATATTATAGTGCTGAGTTTTCCACTAAGTGTACCATATTGATGCTCAAAAAGTTTTAGACTTTCAAGCATTTCAGATTTTAATTTTCATATCAGGGATGGATGAACCTGTAGTACTTTAACAATGATGTGTAAATTCACTTTTAATTTTCTACATTGCCTAAGAGCTACACTGTATAAAAGTTTATAACAGTAAATAGTTAAAAGTCAACATTAAGGATACAACTAAAATCAATTATTTGTCTAAAAGCTAATATTCCTGTAACTTTGGTTTTTAACTCTATGTTTTATATTCTATATAATTTAAGAAAGTAATTTTTTTCTTTTCTTTTTGAGACAGGGTCTTACTGTGTAGTCCAAGCTTGCCTTGAACTCAAGGTGATCCTCCTGCTGCAGCCTCCCAATTGCTGCCAATTACAGGCATGTGCCATCACACCAAGCATATAAATAAAGTTTTAACTTGTGATATAAATAAAAGTGAAAAGAGAGCTATTAAAGGAGTAAAGCTTGGCTATTACTGAGGTTACAGTTACATAGATTCAGAGGAATGTTAGAAGATTAAATGTAATGTTCAGATAAAGAAGTAAGAACACAAATGAAGGAAATAAGAAAAAGTAAGTTTCACTACAACAATCAACTGAATGCCAATAAAGCAGCACAGTATAAGAAATGATACAAAAAAAGGTACAAGGTAAATAAAAAATAAACAATACAATGACAAAAGTCCTTCCTTATTATTAATTACATTAAATGTAAATGAACCAAACTCTCCAATGCAAAGACAAAGACTGGCTAGCAGTAGATCTACAAATAATCTAACTAAATGCTATAGGAGATATGGCTTCGATTAAAGATAAAGGTATGTTGAAAGTGAAAGATTTGGGAAAAGGACATTCCATGCAAGCAGTAATCATAAGACAGCAAGAGTGGCTACCTCACACAAAATAGATTTTTACACTTTAGTGTGGTAGTCAGTATTTGCAGCCACTCAAGAAACTGAGACAAAAGGATTGAAAGTTTCAGCTTTGAAGATTGAGATTCTGACATATATTCTACAAGATATTTGAACCTTTAGAATAAAATGGTAAGTGAAACAATCCAGCCCTTCCCCAAAAGACAACTATTATACAATCTCACTTACATGAAGTACTTAAAAGAGTAGTCAAAATCAGAAGGACATAAAGTGGATGGTGGAGGCTGCAGGCTGGAGGGAGAGAAGTGGGAAATACTGTTTATTGGAAACAGGTGTCAGTTTTGCAAGAATTTGCTGATAGATGAAAGTGATGGCTCTAGAACACTATTAAAGTATTTCATACAACCACACTCTATGTTACATAGGTTTTACCATAATAAAATTTCATAAAATGTGACTTTGAAATTTTAAGAAAATGCATCATATATAAATTGAAAAAAAAGTTATTCTATATAAAAAGCAGCCTGGGGAGGAGCCTGGGTGCCACGCTAGGAACCACGTGGCTGCGAGTGAGGCCGGTGAAGTTGGTTAGAGCTCAGCCATGGCTCGTGGTCCCAAGAAGCATCTGAAG